GTTGAGAGACTAAACGAGAGAGAGACAAACATTTTTCCATTTTAACTGTGCTTGGTAGAGCAAAAGGAACGATTGTGTTTTCTCGAACATCGTTTTTAGAATGATTTATTTTTAACATGATTTTTTTCTTGAAAAATATCTTTACATATCGTTGCTCTTATATTGCTATTTTTTGAAACAATCATGGACATAAAAATGAAGAATTCAGATATTTTTGCACTGGGCAAATTCAAGCACTGGAATATATTCTATAACCTCTTGCATTAGAAGTGAGTGCTGGGTTTAAGAAAAGAGAAGTTCCACATCCTCATTCTCTCAAGCAACACACAAATAAATTTTATTTGCAAAATTTGTTCAGTTTTTTCACAAACTCTTAGGATATCAAATTATATCTGATCTTCATTAACTTCATGAAATAAAATTATTTGAAATATCGCCTGTTACAACATGTCACATTGCTACAGAAAATCGTTTTTGTTTGACATTCTAAAGTAGAAAGCTTAAAAACTTAACATTATGAATTTGTATGATAAAAAGTCATCTTCTTTCTCAAAATCAAGTAATACAAAAAAGGTTTGATGATTCCAGTATGTCATTTTTACTTAGAAATAGATCATATCAGAACATTTATCTGTTCTTTATTGAAAAGATGCAATTTGACAAATTGAAAAATTACGCTTGTTTTGTGAATTCAGTCAATAGATCTTCTTTCACACATCTGTTGAATGAAAACTTGAGTTTCATACTTAATAGTCCTTGCACTTCTCAGCTTGGAGCATGTTCAATAATCTATCCATAGTGTACTGCTGATTATATAGAAAAATTTCTTTATTTTTGAGATTGAGAATCTTCCTGAAGCAATGCTGATCGACGATTATCCATATCTGAGGTTAAAAAGCTTGCATAGCAGAAAAAAATTGAATGAAAAAACACAATACCGACTGCAAAAAACGAGAAAAACGTGCGCGCAAGTCACACATAAGAAGAAGGTGGTTTCTTCCTTTTTTTTGACGTGGGATATCTGAGTTGCCGTATCTCGCTCCACAAGCTTGCTCTTTTACAACATAGCTATATGAGTAATAGATATGAGGATAAGTAAGAGAAATAAATGGTGCTAGTGATTGATGATAACGGTAAAGAAAATATTTTCATTGACATTTATTTCTCTTTTATTTTAACTACTTTAGGAATGATTATGGATAAGAACATAACTGTTCAGAGACTAAGGAGATTCTCTTGTAGACAATCGTAAGTTGCATTGGACAAAACATCTTTTTTTGAAAACATGAGTAAATATGCTTATATTGGTGGTATAGAAGTCTACATACTTTTACTACTATTTTTAAGCTATCTGTACTTCACTAAATTTCATCTGTAAGATAACGCTTATGGTGCAAGACCTTAGAAAAATGCCTTTTAGGCGTGAATTTCATGAATTTTCAGTGTGTATTCGAAATCAGTAGATAGTGAGTGTTTTCTATTCTTTTCGCTCAAGATAAGACAGAAAATAATACTAAATATGAAAATTAGTACTGTTGTAACACATATGAAGTAAGCTATCGATTTTTACCCATATACTAACATTGACTACACTCCTTTTTGTTCACGATGTGTAGGCAATCAGTCTACTTTGTTAAATAATTCTCTTTCAACTTCGTGTTTTCTTTTCTCACCGTCGCTTACACTAGAATAACCATTCGTTTTCCACAGCATTTTTTCCCAAGGCTGAATGCAAATGTTTATCTTTCATTGTTGATTGATTGATTTTCGCACACTAATTTTTTTCTCACCATTTTCAAATTACACAAAAAAAAACACAATAGGCCATTAAGATTGTTCCTCAAGATGTACAATTGTCATCAAAGAACCACTATTGTAGATTTAACGATGGCCTTTGCACACGATATAAGTGTATAAAAATTGTTAACCCATACCTATCGGAGTTAAAAATTTTATTTTCCTCTCATATTTGCTACATCTAGCTTCTAAAAAAGTACCAGCGAAAACTATCGAATAGAAATTGCAATAATCGGCTTCACGTAAAATATCATTTATACCAGGAAAAATTCTCAGAAAGTTCGACCACTATGAAGCTTGAATAGAAATAAATCTTATAAAATTCTGTCTAGTTACGAGAATTAGAAGAAATTTAACAACCCGTACGCAATTATCCAAAACAGCTTTTACAGATGCATTCAAAATAGTCATTGAATAGAGTTAATGACACGCAAAAAACTCTGAGACGAGACAAAGAATGAGCAAAAAATAATATTGGTCCGTGTTTCTGTCGTGTTGACGGCAAGCGCAGTGTTGAAGATGCCTTGTCGAACTTCGTCATTTTTTCTCTCGAAGTCGAACTAAAAAAACTCAAGACTATGTCAAAAAACTTGCATCGTTCTGCAGAACGATAATAACATTGCATGAACGATCATATGGTTTGGCAGTTCAGTAAGCTGTTCATTTTAAAACAAGCATATTTATATAGATTTTGCTTTCTTTGAATGTCTACGGTTTTCTTCTTTTGACATAAAGCTAGAGCACCGACTACGCATACGTTTTCCCTCATGTGTTACCCTCAACATTCCATAAGAGAAAAGTGAGTAATTTTGCATCCGCTTTGATCAGTTACCATATGACTATTTATGTACATCAATTACTTGTTTTCAATAGATAATATGAAGAATATGGATGTGCGTGGGCTTTATCTTTGTTTCGCCCGTACCCACACCCACATCCATAGACAGAGAAATCGAAGAGCGGTGCCGTACTCGAGACATTGAATAGTCGTACTTTTTATGAAAGAATGCTTATCATTACAAACTGACGACCCTTTTACTAATGATCACGCTCTTTTCATGCATAAAATTTGTATGTTTTTGATCATTCAAAACCATACACACCAATTTGAAATGGATAGTTTTTTCTTGTTCTACAAAAGGACGACTCCTTTGAAAGATTTCTTTGACCTTTAGGATAAGCATCTATGTATCTATATGGCGATTGCCCACTGCAATTGAATAACAATATTTTTCTGTTCTTCACCTTAATACATTAAGCTTGTTAGCGGAGCCCCTAGGGGGCTGCAATACGGAAAAGTCTTTCGTAGGATGAATTTGTTTTGCGAGGTAATAGGACTTAAGAGTAAAGAATTCTCTAATTTCTGCATTGCGAACAGAAATCTTTTGTTTTTTTCTTTTTTTACAGTTTTGTTATTCGCTTACTATTTTTCTTTCTTTTATTCGTTTTTGCTAATTTAATACTCGTATTATGATAATCATTGAATTAATTGAGAAATAAGTCCGCTTTACACATACGTGAGATCTATAGCAGATCTTAGGAACTCATATATATATTAATCGACTTACAAAAAATGATATTCATTATTTCTCAACGATATAACTTGATCAATTTTGCAAAAAACTCTAGAAAGCCTCTCGCCTCTTATTCTCGATTCTCAAAGTCTGTAACAGGGAGGATGTCTTTAATGGAGAAGGGTAGAGGGGAGACGAACTGCGAAACTTGAACTTAAAACTGAAACTCATTATTTTCTTCAAACATATATATGAGTTCCATAAAAGAAATGCTTATGACTCATTCTGTTCTTCCTTTGCCAGCTATACTACTCAAATCGAACAACAATTAAAAGACCCCCCGTTTGTTCACACGATGGATTCTTGTGTTTTTTCTTTGATTCTGCAGAGTTCTTTCAGGTAGACAAATATTTGACGAGCATCAAAACGAAGCTTGCACAGTGAAGGAATCGAGCTGCACAACGTTTTTTGCGTTCTCTTTTTCTAGTAGTATTGGAAAAAAATGATTGTCAATATTTGTAAGAGCGAGCAACACATCGATTCAACACTTGTTCAAGGATGAGAAAGTTGTGTTATTTCCTCGAGAAAATGAGAGTGTCGACATTCGATCAACTCTCTCATCAAGAACTTGCCAGCTCCTATCATTCAGTCTGCATTTTTACGACCACAATAATTTACATGACATCGCAGATAAATGACTACCTATAATGAATATGAAACTAAAACAATCGTTGTTGTTTAACTTCTAGATCACGATTTTATTTATTTTCTCTTATCATAAATCTATTGTTGTGGCAGTAAACATTACGAACATAGAACTCTTGTGTTAGTAAAGTAACAAAAATCGATACATTAACGTTTGAATTAGTTGTAAGATGCTTTTGTCGTGATTGTTTATTGAATTCATGCGATGTATAAGCCAAGATTAATTTCAGAATCCATTTTAACACTGTTCTAGGTTTATATAGAATTCAAACATAAGCTGAATGAAATAAAACCAAGAGAAATCAGGAATGCATCGCAGATAATCGAATCAGACTGAGAGAACGATAAGTCTTTGAACGCCTTCATTTAGGGCTTCACTCGTACATAATAGTCTTCAATCAAGTTGTGTTCGACTTGTCTTAATGTGCGAACTATCCGCAGAGAATAATAGCAATACATCAGCACTTTTTGCTGCATTCTTTTATATAAAATCAGTTCGAAAAATTTTGGAACTTGAGTGTACATCTGAAAATGGAAAGTTTTCAACCTGTGTTGAGCCACAGTTTTACATCGAAGATTGAGATTTTACTTTAAAATGTCGAAGGTTTTGAATGAAAATTTTTCTAAATCAAAAGATAGACTTAAGTTTAGACATACGATAAATGGAAAGCAAAAATATTCTGATAGATTCGATCAGTTTAAGAAAACACTATTCACAAACTGCATTATCATTTTGGTTGTGACTTTCATGTAGAAACTTTTATGTACTCTTTTCTTCTGTCTCCAACTACATAATTCATTTATTGAAGTTTTCGTATTTATTCCGTTAAGAGATTTTCAATCATATTAGACGTGTCCCTGACCGGAATATCACAAGAGCATCCTATCGCGAGAGATGTGAGTAATTTATTTCTTGATCTGGTTGTACAAGCCTGAACATTTTTCATTCATGTAGTACCTTCGAGATCTGCTGCATCGAAGAGAATGTCATCATCGTCTAAAAGAGAACTTGATTGTAATGGTAATCCTTGTTCCATGTGCGGTCATTGTCGTGATTGGAAGCACAATGGTCGTAATTGGTATCGTGCTCCAAATGCCACTTTTGATGATTATCGTTATTGGCATTATGTAATTTATCGTCATCCTTCTGCTTTTCAACGTGGTATTGGTGATCGTCTTATTTCTCATTATTTTCATCGTGGTCTTGGTGGTGGTATTGCTATTTTTGACAGTCCGAGTCATGCTGACTATCATAATTTATGTGAGTGTAGAAAGTGACCGTGAACAGCAGATTCACTTCTGACGACTGTTTTGTGACGTTTGATTTCTTTCAATAAAATCAAGAATAATCGAACATTATACTAAAGAAGATCGCTGCGTATTGATTGCTGTCAGAAATAGATACTAGGTGTGAGTGGGTTTGGGTATGGATATGGGTGAAGCAAACATACAACTCACGCACACGCACATCCAAATCAGTTCATAACTGTTGAATCGGTATAGAAAATTCCAAATTATTCGATGATGAATTACATAGCAGTACTTCTGCATGAACATATACTACATCCACATGTGATTCTGAGATATCCAACTCTTTGGTAATCGATAAGCGAGATTGTTGATTCATTTCTTCATTAAATCAAAATTGAGACGGTTCAATTCGTTACATCTCAATGTACATCGGATTGTTCATTGATTACATTTCGTTTTCCTCGTAACTGAACAGAATGTATCGTTTACCATGATTCATTGCGTCTACGAAATACGTGCTATTGTAGTTTTCAAATAATCTTCATTAATCTTTCTACAGTTGGAGATCAAATCAATTTCTCTTGTCAGCCTATGAAAACTAAAACAATAAAGTAATTTTTTTATTATAACATTTAGGGATTGAACAGAATCGGATTTGGCATAGAAAAACGGAGTCGAGACTGGAATTGAAAAAAATCGATTAAAACCTGAGTAATCGATTATTGCGAATTCATGAGACTTATCTAGTCTGTGCATGCCACACTAATGGATATCCTAGTCCTATGAAAAATCATGAAGTATTGCAACATCTATTAAAAACAAGCTATCACCACCACTCAGTGATATTTTATTGAAAAAGAATACCACTACCACGCCGCTACCATGGCGGCTGCTGTTGTGGCGACGCGCAGCAACAACAGCAACGCCAGTAGCAACGGCGTGACGGCGGGCGGGCGGCCACACCACGATGGTTGTCTCTTTCATGTATATCTTATACTGAAAGTTGGTGCATATTGTGCAATTACTTTATCTTTTGTATTCGATGCTTATCATGACGAATGCTTTTCATCCACTGGAGAGAGACATAATAAATGACAACAAGACGGAGACATGGTCGATTCTATGAGCTCGACAACCTGTAATATATCTGGCTTAAATCGCTTATTATTTATTTTGTAAACAGGAAACTTATCGTGTTCGTATCAAATCGGGTGAAAACCTATTGAATGATGTATGTGGTGGCGTAAAAATAGGAGTTCAGAAAAACAAGCACATTACGATAATTTTCAATAAAAAAAGAACATTGATTCGTATCTTGAAATCAGGACCATATACATGTATGTGCTAAATGTTTTTGAGAATGACATTGTCTTGGCCGTATGAACAATCATAATAATGACGCCAGTCCAGTTTTTTATTGACCTTCAGTTCCGATAACATGATTCACATGTTGCTTTTGGAGCATAATTTTACTATCAAAACTTTGATAGAGTTACCCATGAATTTGAACTATTTCATTACCTGGAAAACAGCAGTTGCTTATGAGCATAGATGTTCGAACGATGAATTGAAAAAATTAGTTGCTAAGATATCCAATATGTTGCCTATGAGATGAAAATGGTTCACTGTTTAGATTATCGCAATTGTAAATTGATTTTTCTTTAGAGTTTGGTCAAATACCTGATAATTAAAATTACCATTTATTCGAAACAGTTTCGATTTACTTCCTTTGTGATATAATGCCTATTACTGATCGTTACCTACCAGTCAGATGATGGTAAAAGACGAAAAAAAATAATATGTTGATTCATGTCAAGATACTTGAATGAGAAGAAAGAGTTGACTCTAATCATGTTTCAAATTAGTGTAAAATCATTGAGGAAAAAAGGATATGGGTGTGGGTGAAGAGAAAACGGACGCCCACACCCAACACCCTATCACTAAAAAGGAGTAACGATTCACTTTTAACAGGCTGATATACTCTACATTCAACAGTAACTTATACTCTCTTACACTTATCGCTTGATGTTAGTCTTACTATTTGGATAAATCTTCTGGCATATTATCTAAAACATGAATATTTAATGCATCAGTACTAACGATCCATCTTATTTTTGGAAACTACAAAAATATGTTGAATGAAGCTCTAAAGTCGAAAAAAAATGGAGTATTTTACTCTCAAATAGTTCATTCTTCGATCAGTATTCATTTTAATGATTATTCTTCCACTATTTGGTTGGATGCCTACACAGATCGATTATTTGATATTTTCGAGCAATGACTAATTTAAGTTTGTGCAGTTGAACAAATTTCCCGAGGAAAAAAACACCGAATGAGGAAGAGTGATTGTATCAAATGACAGAACATGAGTAATAGTCCGATGCAATTTTTGTGTTATTAGACAAAAAGCAGTGCTTCCCTTTTTGTTCGTAAACTAATGCTAGTTGAAATGAATTAAAGCGTTATTTCAACATATTCATCAACTATTATGATAGACTATTGAAGTGTCCAACAAAATAATAGTCTGTTTGTTGTGATCGTAAACGTATTTCCGCGATTATCTTTTTTTCAGTAAGTATGCCAGGCCATACCTCATGCTCAATCTTTAAATAGTTTATGAAAATACAAGGTTGGAAATATATTTCGAAAAGCAAGAGTCATTATCTTTTTTATAATTGAGAAAAGGAGTCTACGAGCTCTTTAACGAAGACGAATTATCTTCATTAGTTTCTTAGAATACTTTGTAAGATGGCAGTGTCGCATCGACACTTGCGTGCAACACAGGATGAATGTCAATGTAGACGTAGAGCATGGTTGCCCGCAGTCTATTTTCATCCGCACACTGACGTCTACATCCAATCAATGTTCACACCTATCACTCTACATACGGACATTTACGTTTGCCTCATATCCCCAGTCCGACACGCTTTGTACACAAGTGCCGTACGAGAAAGTGATGGTGAATCATCGAACTTTCAAAATCTATCCATCATGTCTTTCTTTGTGTCAAGCATGTACTTTTGCATGACTTCAATACAACTGAGTTTGCATCAATATTCTTAGACACAGAAGATTTTTTAAAAGTCCTTTTTCTCTCGCCGTATCTATTGTCATACATGATCAAGTCTCACTTATGTTCGTTTAAACTTTCAAAAAAAAAAAATTTGAAAATTTATGAAAATTTTTGACAAGACCAAATAATAATATACAAAAATTCTCTGAATATTGTTAAGAAAACTTTTCAGTTAATCAGAAAATAATTAAATTACTAGAACGCTCTATCTATATAGTTTTAATGATTATCACTCTTGAAAAAAGAAAATTTTGACGGATTTTTCAAAGTAGAAATAGACTAGGGTGTAAATATCATTGAGAAACTTCTCAAGATTCCAATGTACACAAGACAAATTCACTATGAATATTGATTTTTTTCTGTTAAATTAGTATGGAATTAAAAGATCATGTGAGTAAATTGAGAAATTATTATATTTATTCGTCAAAGGCATCAATGTATTTTTATATAAGGAAGAAAATAGTACCTGTGAAAAACTTACTCATTTTAGAATTTACCAATATTCAAAAAAGGTACTGTCTTCGCCATAACAATAAACAATAATGAATTTGCTTATTATTCATAGCTATGCAGAAATAATATATAATTATTTTGTTGTGATGTATTGTTGTGAGGGATTAGTGAATATTAACTGTGTTTGAATGTTTAGATTTTCTTAAAGTAGTTCAAAATATCCTTTTTTTGCTACGTAATCATTATTGAAGTTTTCTATAAATTGCTCAAAACTATTCGTGATATTTCGAAACTCACTTTAAAATATTCTTGTGGTTTACGAATTACCATCGAAAGTTTTTAGACGTTTCATTCTTCTATCCTTCTAGATTTTTGGAAATATAATACAAAGTAAAATATGTTTGAAGAAATGGTTTCGATTGATCTTGACGGATATTATGATAAATTTGCAAATATGCTGTTGACATGCTATTCATGTCACAGCACTTTCTCAATTTAGATTATTTATCAAAGAAACATCAAATTTTAGAAATGTAAGTATTGATCATCTCATTGGAAAATTTTGTAAATAATGCCGGCTAAAATTATTGCGAATACGAGCAAATCTCTATTTGTCTCTTTCAGGACAGTTTAGGACTTTTCTTCGTCCATAGTTGTAGTAGACGTTATTTCATTCTTCGTCTTTTGTCTTCTTCTTTTTTACTACATTTTGAGAGTTTCTTTTTAGATTTTAGCCACTACTAGGAATGGCTTGAACGAGGACCGATAGTTTTTTTTACTCTAAAGGACGGGGGCGCATAAGACCGTAATTTGGCCCATTGGACTTTTCATACTATATCCAGCACAATCATATATAGGATGAAAGAGCTTCAACTGGCGAGTACTTTCCAATACATTTGA